AGGCGTGGACAGGAGAGGTCACAGTATGGACAGGAGAGGCCACAGGTGTGACTGGAGGAATCCCCACACTTTGAGATTCGCTTGGCCCTCCCTGACCTGCTGGCACTGGGTGGCTGCTCCGTGGCCCCGGGACCTGCTCCCCTGTGCACAGGTGAGGTTGGTACTACGGAACCCTGGACGTGGCAGCGCATTCTGGTACCAGAGATCCCTCTGTCGCGGGCCAAGCTGGGGCGAGGCCCTTTCATGATTGTTTCTTCCTTCTCTAAACCAGAGGCGCTGACATCCACCCGTCCACCCATGTGCGTGTGGACCCCCAGAGGCTGGACACGAACCTGTTTAGAGCTGTCTGCAGAGGAGGGATTGCCACTGTCATGGTCACTGTGACCCATGGGTCTTTCTGGTAGAGACCTGGGCTACTCTCAGCTGCTGGAGGAAAGAAACCCACTCCAAGTGACCTCAGTGGCTTTGAGGAAGGGCCGCCTGGGTGCCCAGTCTCCTATCCAATAGCATCTTCAGGGCTGGGGTGCAGCTCTGCGGTGGGACCCTTACTTACGTTCGTGGGTCACAGGTTTGATGCCAGCACTGCAAACAAACAGACCAACAAGTCTTTAAGGACCTGATTTCTTTTTGCCTTCCCTCTCCACCATCCTGTGTGTTGACCACGGACCCAGGACACGGGGCCCCATTCCAGCAAAATGGCTGCCACCTCTCCAAGCAGCACAGTCTGGGTCCCCCACTGCCGAGTGCACTCGAGGTGAGCTGTCTACAGAGGCCCCCGTGTGGACGATTCCACCCACATCCCAGAGGCCGGGGACAGAGGCCACCTGAGTGGGCTCTGTCCAGGCAGGATTCAACCCTTGACCTAGGAGGGTCAGTTCCCAAGAAGAGAGTGGACGAGGAGGAAATCTGTTGGTTCTGCAAGGCAGGCCATGGGCGTGTGCCCTGTCTGGGGATGTCTTAGGCAGATGGGCCACCTGCCCTGTCCCCATTCATCCCTCTTCCCTCCCTGCCTTTGGTCATCCAGCACTCACCGAGGTACTCTATGAAGTACGACCAGCCATGAATCCAGCAGATGTGCAAGACCGATACCTACGCCAACGTGAACCGCGCAGCGAACCAGGCAGGCGGGAGCAGGGCCGGGCAGGGCCGGGCAGATGCTGACCCCAGTGAGGAAGAGCACCAAGGACCTTCCAGGCAGAGGTGGCCCCAGGAGCCGAGGCCTGGAGATTCTCCAAGCTTGTCTCCGCTGTCACCCGCTGGAGGTGACCCAGAGCTCAACACTAATGGCCTGTTCAGTACATCCACAGGCGCTCACTCATTTTCCTGAAATGTTTTGTTCTAGGTGGGGAATGCAGCAGTGAGGGGTGGCGCTGGGCTGCCCCCAGGGAACGTGTGGCATACAAGTAGACAAGAATCGACAGGGAGGAGGAGCCAGTGGGCATCCCGCCTTCTTTGCCGCTGTCACTGGCCTGGTTCTTTACTGACATGGCTCAGCCCCTCACTTCTTCCAGGTTGCAGCTCAAACAATAGCTCCTCGGAGAAGTTTCACCTTGGACTCCATTAGTGACAGTCCCACCGTTGGTCTCCCACCCACTGCCAGCTTACTGGCCTTCAGAACGCTCCCTGCAACCTGACATCGCCAGCAGACTGCCGGGTGTTTTCTGTCCCTCCGTGAAGATGGACACTTTGTGTTACGCTCACCGCGACAGCCGTAGCGTAGCACCTAAAACTGGGTCTGTCATCCTGTAGGAGGGTGGGGTGTCGGGAGGAGCTGGTGTGGTCTAACCGGGTGAGCTTCGCTTTATCCCTTTATTCCTGTTCATTCTGCATCCGTGGAGCCCTTCCTAGGTGCCAGACGTGGTGTCTGTGCTGGTGTCAGAGACGAAACATGGCCCTTCTGCCCTCCAGGACCACAGCTTGAATTAGCCGGGGGCCAGTGCCCACCTCAGGGCCCCGTGCAGGGCAGCATTGCCCTGTGGGTTGAGTGGCCTGGGAATAACGACTCTTATTAGAGGTGTACTGGGTGCACCTCCCATGCTACATGCTGGGTGGGGCCAAATGCAAAAGCAGGGTCCCTCCTGTGTGCCCAGCAGCGCCCAGGCCTGGGAAGATAAGTGGGAACTAGCAAGTTTTCCTTGTTAAGCGTGATTCGAGGCAGGACTTTCTTCCCTGCTTCTCTCTCTGTCGCTCTCTCTCTCTCTCTCTCTCTCTCTCTCTCTCTCTCTGGCTGGCCTCTTTCCCCAGGGCTTAACACATCAAGGGCAGGAAGCACTGCCTACGCACAGTAGGTCATCAGAAAAAGCTTGGTGGATGAACTGATGTGATGGGTCCTTGGCCACAGCACAGCCCCTGACACCTGTGAAGACTTCTTCTAGTGGTTCAGCAGCAGTCACTGAGCACCTACTATGTGTCTGTCCACCACTATGTGGTCCCCGAAGTCCCCATCAGCCACGATTCCCATCTGTCTGCCGCAATCCTGAAAATGCCCATGTGGGCCTGGCGGTCACTGTCCGCCTGGCCTCCAGGCTTACTGCCTTCTGCCACACAGAGGTGGCCCCCTGAGGGCTGGCTTGTGGGTGGCCTGTCCCCTCCACAGGGGGGCACTGTCTCTGTGCCAGGGCCCTCCGTGGTGAAGGGCTGGGTGTGAGGAGGCAGCAGGAGCAGGAAGCAGGGCCCTTCTCTGGAGTTCTTATGAGCATCCATGTCCTCTTTCCAGCTGACCCTGAGCTCCTGGAAAGCCACCAGCCTCATACTCGTCCCCACCTGGCAAAATGCAGAGAGCCCGGGGTGTCCGGCGTCTCGGTGGGATTTGTTGTTGAGTTACAGTCTTGTAGTTCTGAGCACAAAAGGCCCTTGCAGAGTGCCACGCCAAGGCACCTATTTTACAGATGGGGAGACTGAGGCTCTAGGAGGGGACGCCTTCCATCCCACTGGGCTCTCAGGAGTTTCCCACAGGGCCTCAGGGCTGTCCTCTGCGGCGCAGGGCTCCTTGCCATTGACCGTTCACTGCACACCCAGATCTGGGGGTGAGATTTGGAAAGGACTTGGCGTTCAGCCAGTGACCTGCTGCCTGACTTTTGAGGAAATGCATCCCTTTGCCTGGAAATGGCTCTGTGGCCAGTGAGTCACGTGCTGTCACCCACACATTATGGTGGGAAGAGCTGGATGACTCTGGGCTCCATTTACTCAGTTTTTAAAACCTCCCTGAGATTGACTCCCTCCTTCCTAGTGATTTGTGACTCTTCCGCTGGACATGTCCCTCCTCCGTGGCTGCAGGTTCATTCAACACATCCTTCATGGCCCACACGCTACCTCCTCCTGGGACCCTTCCTTGGTGGCCCTCCATCCCTCAGTCTGTCTGGCAGTTGGATTGACCCAGATCTCTCTGATAACATCCGTGGCATCTCCTTGTGTTGTCTTCCTGTGGCTGCAGAGGGCTCTCCTCCCCACCCCAACTTGTCGTGCATATCTTCTACCCACACTACACACGTGTCCATGCCCAGAACCCAGAACCATGTGCAAATTTCTTTGTCCCTGACCCCATAGTGGAAGACCCTCTTCCGTTGAGGACTTGTATAAGGTTTGCATATTGTGGGAGTTTTTTTTTTTAATGAACTTAATTTAAATTACTAGAGGTTGGATTATCTCTCGTGTTCCCAGTTCCATGCTGGGTGGACACAGAAATGGAACTGACCATGATAATATCATTATATGCACGATGGCATGGGTGGTGTGGCAGTGCAGTGACGAGGACGAAGAGGTTGTGAACAGGCAGAAATGGAGGAGAGAGACAGAGAGATAGATAGATAGATAGATAGAGAGAGAGAGAGAGAGAGAGAGAGAGAGAGAGCGCTTGAGAGGAGCAATAGGGACATGGGCCTTGAAGCCCCTCAGCTGGTGCAGGTAGTACAGACTGGATTCAGGGCTGGGGTATGAAGCTAAAGATGCTGACAAGGATCTGCTCAGAATCCCTCCAAGGCTAAACCTGGAGCATCCTGCTGAGATGCAGAAGGTTGGAGTCAGGCTACCTGGGTTCAAATCCCACTGCATCACCTACCAGCCTATATTCCACTTTCCCTTCTGAAAATAGACATAGTATCAGGTCTTCCTCAGAAAGTGGTGCTCAGTACAGCACCTGACAGGGCCTGAACCCCAAGGCAAGTGAAGATGCAAAATACTAGGGAGCACACACAGATATAATTCTATCATGGAGATCAATATCTAGTGGGGTATCAAAAGCCCCCCCCCAAATAATCAAGATACATAATATTTAATGCAGTACTTCCACAGTATCAAAATTAATGCAAAAAAATCCACTATGAACAAAATACCAAAAATGTAAACAAAGACACGATGTGCTTGGCACAAAGTATGCAGCTCAAAAAATACCAGTTATGAGTGGACGGAGTGCTCAACCTTCAGGGGCTGCGGTCTTCTGAAAACCCGTGGCGCCTCTCTCCAGAAGAATGCGCGAGTGTGTACAATTGGTGCACAGTTGCACCCTCTAGGGTTCCTCTACCCTGAGGTTAAGAACTCAGGTTCAATGTAGGGGCGCCTGGCGGTAGTGGTAGCTGCGCGCGCCATCCAGCCGCCTGCGGGTTCTTGGGTACCCAGGCTGCCTCCCTCCTGGCAACCATGGGTGCTCTGCCCCCTTCAGGAAGCAGCACACAGTTCTGCGGCTCCCTCCCCCGCTCCGGTTTGGGACTTTTCCTAAAGTTTGTTGAAACCAGACACCTTGCTCCACCGAGCCCGCGTGCAGCCACGGTTTAAAAGGCCGCCTTCAGCGTCCCCTCCCCGCCCCCAGCGGAGACTTCAAAAGGCCCGGCGGGCGCCGCGGCCCCAGCACCTATGAGCCGCCCCCAGCTCCCGGAGCTCGCGCCGGAGCCCGAGGACGCAGAGCGGCTCAAGTTCGAGCGCGGGCGGACCGGGCAGGCTGCGCAGTCCCGCGCGCCCATGCCCCTCCCGGTGCCGCTGCGCTCCGCGCGCCCGCGCCCCGTTTAGGGAAGCATGAATACAAATGCCGTTAGGCGCCCGTGGAAGGACCGACCGGCCAGCCTCGCACTTAGGGACACAGTAAGTGCCTGGGGACTCCTGTAGCGCTAGGAGTATTGGTGTGTGTGCGTAAAGGTGCGCGCGTATGCAGAGGTGGGTACAAGCCTGGGACGTGAGTGTGTGTGTATGTGTGTGTGTGTGCGTGCATGAGTGTGGTGGACACTTGTGGAGGGGTGTGCGTGTATGTGTGTGCACTTGGTTGGGTACATGGTCTGTATGTGCACGTGGGAGTGTGTATGTGCGGTGTGCCCGCTGATGTGTACGTTGAGGAGGATATGGACAGCACAGGGTGTATTTAAGTGAGTGCAAACACTCCTGTGCACGAGTGTGCGCTGAATCCAGACATCCCAGGGTGTTTTTTTTACGTGAGCCTAAGTTGCATGGCTGCATACCTGCATGTGAATGAGTGTGAGCGTGTATCTGAATTTGGTGTGTGTGTGTGTGTGTGTGTGTGTGTGTGTGTGTGTTTTCGTCTGCCCAAAGAGGTGGAGGTGGGGGTGGGGATTAGTCTCAGTGCTGGCCTGGGGTTGGGGATGTGAGAATCTACCCGCGGCGGGCAAAGCCGTGCAGCTCCGCGCTCCAGTGTGGGATCCCAGGGTGTCCACTCCACTCTGGGGGATTAAATCCCCGTTTCTGACCGAGCTGCAGAGGAGAGGAGGGTGAGCAAACACAAACACGCCCACCCACCACGTTCTTTCTCCAGGGAACTCAGAATCTGGTGAAGCAATCTTTTTGGTGGGTGTCGGGGGGTGAAAACACTGGTTGTTGTGGGAGTCTGGACTCCAAGTCCTGTTCCCAGTTCTGTCCTAGAAACTCTGAGATTCTTTCAGGAGTTGAATCTATCCCCTTTCTTCCACCAAACCGCCCCGTAGATTTGAGGACCTGCAGTCTCACAGGTCAGAAATTCCTAATCCAGGTTCTGCCGTCAATCATTGTGCAGCCTTGGGCGATCCCTTGTTTCGGTGAATCTGTTTCCCCATCTTTACAAGGAGGAGGGGGCTGGTGTCCCAGCGGGGCCGTGGCGGGCCGGCTGAGGCTGTGTCCCTGGCCGCGGCCGGCAGGGGGC